TATCTATCTATCTATCTAGACTGTTCTAGACTTTGGTAGGTCTCCTCAGGAGGAGAGGTGCTTGGCCTATTCTGCTGTCTCTATTTTCCTCTTCCGTCAAAAGCCACAAGGTGATGTGTGAGTTGACTGTCCCCAGGGCCTCAGGGGCGCCTGTTACAGGGCTTGTCTTCGAAACATCTTCCAAGGGCCCTCTCTGTGCCTTGAGGAAAATGTGAGACCCGTTTACATCATCTTTCCCCTATCTATCTTCATCACGAAACTGTTAGTGTTTTTATGTCCAAGTATTATAGGACTTTGAATCCCTGGGTGATAGAGCCTCAGAGCCCTTGAGAAGCTCAGTCACTCACCTGCATGCAGGGTGGCCTTTTTCTGTTCTGCAATGAAAGAGAACGAGATGGTCATTGACGGGTTTCTAATAAGAGAGGGGACACCTTGTCGGTGAACTAACGACAAGAAGAGAGAACTTACTGAGCTCTTCCAGGAGTTTCTCTGGAAAACAAACAGAAATACCTTAATGACAAAGGAATAAATGGTTCATCTCTAACCTGATTACTGAAGCTTTATCAATAAATGAGGAACAAGGATTATGGTTTATTTATTTATTTTATGTTTCTAAGAAATGTGCAGGAAGTTCCTACTGGCTTGGGATCAGATCTTTAATCTTTACTGGGAAACCGAGTTAGAAGTGAGGAGAGAGTCTGAGGGTGGGTAGTGAGTGCACATCAGGTCTAATATCTCAGTTTGCATTGGTTTTGACTCCTTCTGCACCCCAGACCTTCGTATTGGGGATCAGCGGCTTCAGGTGCCTTATAACGACCCCCCATCTTGACTTCCAGAATTCTAGACCCAAATATCTTCTGAAAGGACTTGGGTCCACCCCCACTCGTAAGCACTCCTGACAAGCGGCCTGTGACTCACCTTTAGAGCTGAATTCATCCTTTCTCTGTCGGGCTCTTTCCCTGTATAGTCTCCAAGTGCCAAATACGGACCCAATTGTAAGAAGTCCCAGGACCATCAAGATGACAGCCACTGCCACCATCCAGGGAGTCAGCCGTGGGAAGAAGGGAGCTGAAACGAAATCCCCAAGAAGGACATTTGTCGTGCGGCTCTGAGCAAGTCTGCCTCTGCTCCCGATTGCAAAGGGGGCTGCAAGAGAGGACGACCTAGACCTCCCCCGTTTCTCCCACGGCAAAAATGAGTCCTTCCAGTGCTGCTCTAAGCTTTTCAGAAAAATTTTGATCTCAGGTAGGGGAGGGCAGTGAAAGAGAGGAAGGAGCAGGATGGGAGCCAAGGGGATGCAGGAAGTAAATAAGGAAGGGGACATGTCACCTCTGTGTGCCACAGAAAGGGACTCAATGACCAAAGAATAAGGAAAGGTCCTTGCCTGAGCCAGAGATGGTTGGGGTGGGGGGAAGGGTGATGAGAAGATCTGCTTTCCTGAGGGCCCTCGAAACCTAGACAGAGCTCTAGCATGGGAGGGGGGGGCCAAGGGGCAAGGGTGGAAATGGGTTTTCCTGTTACTCAAGGAGAGAACGCTCTGGATTAGGAAGGCCCCCAAGGACAGATCTTCTGTATCTAAGATATATCTCCTAAAATGGAAAATCTGGGACTTCAATGAGATCCAGGGAGGGTTGATGTGTTCAGAATCCCTATTCTTCTGAGGACGTTGGTGGGGCTCCCTCACGTCGGGGATCAGGAGCTTAGGTGGGGAGAAAGTAGACAACTGTGTCATGAGGGCATGGCTTGGGCAGGTGCCCTAGGTGACGTGGCCCTAAAACTGTCACATAGGAACCCAACGCTGATTTCACTGACCTGGTATGGAGATCTCTACTTCCTTCTCCTGGCCCAGAAGGAGGTTCTGGAAATGGCAGGATATATTCTTCATGGAGGTGTCCCTGATGATCACGGAAGCCGCCACAGTGAACAGGCCTTCTTCATCAGGATTCCTAGACTCTGATGTGGATGGAAACCACTCTCCCTCGGAAGTTCTCCACTGCACCTGGGGCTCTGGGTACCATCCTACGGAGGTACACTCCAGCCGGATCTCTCCACTTTCTTGAACTTCCATATGGATTTGAGGATCAGAGCCCAGAGCTACGGAGAGAGAAGCTGGCCTCACTCCTTTAGTGGACACCCTTCTGGGAACCTTATAACCATAGGGTTACACAGTCTGAGAAAGAAAGGCACACGGAGACTAGGAATGAGAGGGATTCATGTTCTGTTTCATGACACGAGGAAACCACGAGGAAACTGAGGCGTCAGTAAAAGGAACCTTATCAGAGAGGGATGCCATATTGGGATTTAGTGTTTGAAATGTAAGCAGGAGTGTGATGGACAGACATAGGAACATAGTCAGCAGGAACAGCAAGACCAATGGCTTAGAGGCAGGTTAGGGAGCTCCAGAGATGGGAGAGGGCTTTGTGGTTGGATGTGAGAAGACTTTGAGGAGGAGAACCAGGAGTGGGTATTTAACAGAGAAGATGTGAACAGAGAAGAAGTGTCCCTGAGGAGAAGGGGGATTGGAGGTTCCCTGCATTAAGACTGTAGCTGACAATTTAAGTTTCCTTTCCGTGTGATACTGATTCAGGAATTTTCTTAAATGGTTTCAACCTCCTTGCCCCAGTGTCCTAACATATATCAACATAAAGCTGTTCTTACCCTTTCTGTTTTCAGCCTAATTATATTCTTACACTTCTGCAGAGTGTAGAAAAACACCAAGCTGCAGAGGAGAGTCCTTAAACACCTGTCCACAGCTCTTAGTTTAAATCCACGTTTCGATTTGTGTGTATATGTGAAAATGCGTATTCTTTTCATGAAAAGGGCTGCCTGCCACCTTGAGGAGATTCTCAAAGATGTCTATCACTTTAAAAGAGTAACAATAACAGTTTCATGTATACGCTGTCTCACTTTATTTCATTCTTGCCAAATCTTGTTTGACAGATGCATTGCCCAGTTTTATAGCAGGAAATAAGGCTCAGAAAGAGATTAGTTTGATGGCATTCCAAGTAAGCAGGAAAGTCAGACCTCAACGCATACTTTCCTCCTGAATGCTTACCATTCTCCTTAGTTTGAAATTTGGCTTGAAGCAGAGAAGGGAAACAAAACCCAAAAACTTTTCTAGGTGGATCGACAATGTTAGCGAGCAGCCACCTCTAGGATCCTGGGAAGCCCGTCCCTAGGCACGAATCCACGCGGCAGCCACAGGTTGCAACGGAAACGCGCGGCACAGCGTCCCTCACCGGAGTGGTGACAAGCAGACACAACCTGAATGTTGGGGCCTGGGGCTGGATCGAGCATATTCTGGCGCGCTAACTAGAGAGGATGTGGTGTAGCCTCGCAATCACAACATGGGGCCATCTCTCCAACGCCTTCCCGCTGACCTCCCACCCT